GAGACACCTGATGTGATGTGGCACCAACTGACAAAATGGAGGAAATCATGTCATAATTTGCATCTCTAAAAACATCACAGCTAATTTCCAAACGGGCATTACTTCATAACCTGACCACATATTCTTAGTCTAAGTTTACTTGCCAGAAAAAAATCTCAAAACTTTATAAAGTGGCATGATACCAGGAGACACCTGATGTGATGTGGCACCAAATGACAAAATATAGGAAATCATGTCATAATTTATTCATTTCATTGTGTTTATTAGGCACCATGGACACATTTCTTTGCTCCAACATGAAGTAGCAGACCTCTTCACTTGGACCCTGCTGCAGGAGGAGATTCCATCTCCAGTCTGCTCTCTCTGGTCACCTGCTGACTCCTCCTGTGAGTCATGCTTTCCTCCTCTTTGTCAGTCGGTGTCACGGGACAGCAAGTGTCTCCTGTTGTGTGTATGGAAACATAGGTCCTAGTTTGAAGTTAGCCTGAGGCAGGATGGATATAACCTTTTAGGGCTAAAATATGTCAGTGTTTATATTTTAAGAAACTGTTTAACTTCAAATGTATGTGACTGTCTATGGCCTGATCCATACTCTAGGTGACATGTACGCTTGTAAGCCTGGGTTGTTTGAGTCAGCCAGGGAGTTGCCCTGTATCCTAACAACATTAATATTTCTAGTACATATGTACCAATTCCAATTTTTTTGGCAGATTCCAATTTCCAGTTTTTAAAAATCTGACCTGCCGATTCCGATTTTGTCCGATTGAGATTTTCTTTTTTCCTAAGAACTATAATTGACAGCATACACAGACATTTTTGTAACTGTGATGAGGAGGTTTGGACGTAGTTTACCCTTCTCCAGTGTGTTTCTCTAGGCTCCTCTGTGCACTTTTCGTACACCAAGGGCTTCCAGTGCTTGAGTGAACATACGCCTGGCACAGACACGAGGGCAAGCCTCACTCAAGATGCTAAATGTTGCACACGCTACGCTTTTGGTCTGTGCCACTGCATGTGCAATGTGGCAAAGACCAAATGTGGCACGTGCCTCTAAATCTGATCAGCATAGAACTGAAAATCTCAGAGTGATCGGCTTGGCCACCAGTCATGCTGAAAACTAGCCATTTCTGATCTCCACCACTCAATTGGTGCGTCTCTAATTTCTAGGATATTTTTGTGAGGGTCCTCTAAAATATAACATTATGCTGCTCTGAATCCTTTTCATTTTTTTCATTAAATTCACTTTTCACATTAAAATAGTCTATTTGTAGCTTGTTGAGTGAAAATCAGAAAAAGGCTGTCCATGAATCAAGGCCAATGGAACCAGGACGATCATGTAGCAGTGCTGCCTTCTCTATCATTACACACACACATAAACGCTGACATCCGCCATCCAATTCTGATTTTATTGTTGCTTGCACTATACATTGTGTGATAAAAAATAATTCAACGAAGGGAGGCATACATAGTCTACTCAGTCTAAATGTATCATGATAATTTGCTTTAGAAATTATTTCCCATTGCCACCACTAATCCACTATCTTTTGATTAGATTTAATTACTCCTTTTCCAAGTTACAAACAATGTAATTTCCAATTTGCCCAAAAACTGCATGAGCCATTTGTGGCTTTCTTGATTATTTATTTTGATTATTATCACCACTGCATTTGTCTGTAGTGTAAGTAGCATTTTGCTCTTGTAGCTACTGGTCAAAGTGGAGTTAATTTTAAATTCATTTACTATTTGGTAGTTCAATCTAATAATCTCTCTTACAATAAATTGTACTTGCATGTTCAAAGTAGGTGCGTGTCACTTTTCACAAACACAAACACACAGACAGACATGTTTTACTCAGCATGTGATCTGAGATAGACATGCTAGAGTAGGCAAAGGTCCAGAAGATGACAGGGATTTACAGTGTGAGACAGTCAGCATACGACAGATGCACATGGCCACACACACAGTCTGACTCACATACTGCAAAGCACACACATACATACACACAGAGTTGAGCTCTACAATGTGGGTGGTGTGGGTATGATAACAAAGACACCTTGTTCAGCTGCTTACAATAATTTGGTGGCGACACAAGCACAAAGTGACAAAAACACAGGTTAGTAAGAAACAAAAATACACTCAGTGGGATGCACCTGAAGCATGTTCTCATACTGTTAAATCTGAATGACTGAATGCACAGACACTCTCACACTGTTACTGTGAAAACCCAGGTCCTGCCTTTCATTTCAGTGATTCTATACCAAGTTACAAGTGTAAATATACAAGAAAACAAGGCAAGTATGTATTTCATAGAATGTACTAATATAGAAGTTCCTCTTGATAGAATATGTCATACTTTTTGTAATCCTTCATGAAATCAAATCCAGTATAATAATAATAAAAAAAGTATAATTCACCCTCTACTGACCAGTTCTTTGCTCTTTTCAGAGAAAGCTTCTTGTACATACAGTCGTCCTACAGCATTGTCCATGTTGCTGTTGACATAAAGTGCACATTGTCGCCACACTGCTGCCTCTGACGTTGTACCAGACAGAGCCTGCAGGGAAAGTAACAAGGCACAGATCAATTAGAGGTGCAGGATAAAGCACTCAGCACATCGGCTAAGGAGGCTCATGGCAATTTTTATTTGCACCTTCATTATGAATTACCATTACACTTAGGACTATAAGAAATACGGCAGGAGGGAAGGGATTATATTAGGAAGAGGGTTAGGATTAGTAAGAGTTATAAAAGTGCAGGCAGAATATGAATGGCGCTGAGTATACACATGAGGTAATGTATATTTTAGAGGATGACTGCTACCTTTGTTATTGAAGTACATGTAGCAAGAAACTGCACCGTAGAATAATTTTGAATTTCTTACATATAGTGTTATTCACCGAGGTACCAACAAGCCATACAAGCAACATGGCTTTAGGGACATCATTGTTATTCACTCCACTACCTCCAAATTTGAAAAAGCTCAGCCACTGGATGGATTGTCATGGGACTGTATGTGGATATTCATGGTCTCCAGAAGATCCTGCTGAGTTTTGAGACTTTTTGACTGACATTTTTATTTTTGTGTTAAATGTTTTGACACCTGCCTGACAAATAGCTATGAAATATTATTACAGACTATAAGTACAGACTTTCACGTTTCCCCTAGGATTAACTATAATAACTTGGGTGATACCTTAAAGGATAGCTGGCAGGTCAGCTGGCAAGTTGCTTGCATGTATATGTGTATGCACTTAGCTGTAATGACAACCCCAGGCAGCTATATCTTGTATTTGCTTTCTTTCTGACTCAGAGATAGGTGGGAAAAAAAAAGATTTAACTGAATTCATGTTTATTCTGAGCACTTTCAGAGGCTAACATGAATGCCTCAAAGACTGCTATTTAATACATATTCTCGTTTCCTAGACACAATGAGTTTCCTGTATTAATACATATTCTCGTTTCCTAGACACTCTACAATGAGGTATTGATAGTAAAAATAACACTGGCTATAGAGCCACTAAACCCATTTTTAGGATAAATACAGCTGGTTCAAATAAATCAAAGTTATCCTTAAAGAATTTGTTAAAGTTTTTTTGCCATTTTCAAAAAAACATTGATGTGCTCGTATGTTCTTGAGAATGGGTCTTGTCGCTGTAGCTATACATACTCTCCACACTGTCCCTGTGTGAAAATGCTCTCCAAAGTTCAGTGGACACTCAAATGAAACAGTCTCACTAAGCTCAATTGTGTCAATATCTTCCATTTAAGACAGGTTTCCTTTGTTTTTGCTGGATAGCAGTGAAAACGGCCTGAACATCATTGCAGCTTTTTCTCCTGTTGTACACCAAACCCTCTCACTTTGTTCCTACCTCATCTGTGCTGTTTGTGTGTGAGTGAGGGCTCTGCTCCTGGGTGGATCATTGTGTCTTAGGTATAGGTGTCGCTATGTGACTGGCTGGATTCAGGGGAAGTGTCTGCAGCTGACTGGGCCTATCACGACACATGCTGACCTTTAAAAAGGCACGGTTCCCAGCACTCTGGTTGGCAGCTCTGACAGCACCATGTTTTTCTGTCATTGGTCTCCAAAACCCTTTGATTAGTACTGTGTGCTTAGTATTATATTGCTGGCCCTGGTGCCACAGAGTGAATGAGCATTTTCTACATACTACTGTTTTCTCATGTTTTTCTGGTTATAGAGTTTTCTTACTTTAGTAAATGACTTTTGTTCTGTTTGTCTCAGCCTGGGATTAGTCAGCACTTTTTGTGATGTAATCTTTTGTAGTTCTGGCCTTGGCTCACCCTGAGGTGCTCTGTTGTATATTGCTTCAGCTCTGTGTCACTATTTCATTTATAAAATTTTATTTATTTATTTTTAAGTAATGTATTATTTCACTTATTTGCAGTTCGGTATTGGATTCTGGTTTGAGGACCGGGGAGCGACACACCTTGAGTTGAGTTTCCACCAGAAAGTTCCTGGTGCTTTTTATTTTCTGGATCAAAAGCCCAAGAACTGTGCCTGGGGTAAAAGGCACCGTGATGTGCATTTCCACAGCAGGGCTGAAGCAAGTGTATTTTTATTTACTCGCCGAGGTTTTACCACATGTACAGTAATTAATGACTGTAATGATTAACACTCACTTCAGCCAATGTCATGCTCTGCCCCACAGCTTCTGCCTGCTGTGCTTCATATGTGTGGAGGTGCTGAGCACAGTATTCAGGTCAAACACTAGGAAAAGCCATTCCACAACCTAGTACTGGGAAGTTCAATTCTTACGGTTACCCAGCGTATGTACAGGTTACTAGGCAACATGAATCAAACCTTTCAAGTTTTTCAGTATCCAGTACATGTGCCTATATAGCTACTACGTATCAGACAAGCTGTGTGCTGCCTGATTGGGATGACATGAAAGTAAAGCATTTTTAATCCTCCCATTGGTATCGGCATTATTTAGCTGATCCTGTACAACATCACAGAATGACTTATTTTCTTATATTGTTGATTATTATTTTTATATTATTATTTTATATTTCCAAGTGAATAAGCTGCTGGTTTCAAAACACATTTACAGCCTATGTTGTGCAATAATAGCTTATCATATTTTATTTCGTAATATAACATCGCAACAGTGTTTTCAAAAATCCATCGATAATATCAAGAACTGTGTGTACACTATGGGTGTAATATGGTGTCTGTGGCACACACACATAGCTAAGGTTAAGGTAACGCCGAGGGTAAACATTTGCCATAGGCTAACAAGCTAAGGCTAACAGCTAACAAGAGTGGATCTACTCTACTGTACCTCTGGTGCATGAACAAAGGAGAGAGCCCTGCTCCCATGTGCAGCAGGGCAGATATAGGAAGTGTGGCAGGATAGTGAGTTTGGGGGAAAGGCACATCTCCTGCTGCACTGCTTCAAGCTAAACTTTGTCAGACAGTACTTCTGTATTTTTAACTCTATTAATGGTTGAAATGCTTACATTTATTTAGCTGGTAGTTAGCTTGGCATCATATAAAAAAGAGAATGTGAAAGTTTTTGTCACAGGCTGACTTTTGCATGCAACATATGGCTATTTCCTGGGGTCAGCATGTGCTAGTGTAAACTTTATTTGTATACTGATTTGTTCATTCTGGAACAGCACTACCACAAACACCTGGACCAAATGTTCTAATCCACTAATCTCACTCACCGGTTTCTTCATATAGGCCTACTGATAAATTGCTCCTTACAAATTGAAAACCCAAGGAGCTGGGAGTCATTTGCATCAGTGCAACCAGATCATTTTTCACATTGGCACACTCAGATTTTTACTTGCGTACGAAAGTGAAATGCTTGCACTCTAGAGCCCTGTATTTGACCAGTCAGCGATGTTCCACACTCCTGGGAGTGTACCTTTCGGAAGGCTTTCCTGGTCTCCCTGTAAGGTCTGCTCAGGTGAACCACCATGTTCATAGCAAAACGCCACACCATGTAGTTCTGCAGATCCCTGTGAGAAGAGGAAGAATGTTAAAAGAAAACCCTCCCACTCACACAGAGCCACAATATATTAGTAATGAGTGATCAGCTGTTTTTATTGCATACTGAACTCCC